GAAGTTTCACCTCAGTTTCTTCTCCGTGCAGTTGGGCTTGGAAAGATGCTTTAAGATTTTTAAGTTACCAGAAGTCCTGCTTTGACCGTGACAAGGGCAAGTGATAAGTACTGACACAGAACACCCCTTGTTGTCAGAGTAGCAGCCCACGTCCACAAGTGGATGAGTTAGTGGTTCCCCCCATTTTTCATCCTCAGCATGGAAATTCTTCCTTCCTCCCAAACCATGGCAGTGCCAGGGCTTACCGTTAGAAATGTTAACCACCTAACACCCCCCTCCCCCAGCTCTTTGACCTCACCCTATCAGCTGTTTCCGATCTCCAAATATATTTGTAGGCTGATCTTCAGGTTCCTGATGCTTCTGTTTTTCTAGCTGAACTATTCCAGAGTTGATGCATTCCACTGCCAGTCCTTGGATAATTGGTTTTTCCATTCACTGGAAAGTAAGAAAAGCACAAACAACAGGTGCTAACTAAAACCTTTTCTTAGAATTGTGATTCAGGAGAACTGGGGAGCTCAGTGCCTGATAAATGAAACTAGGTTTCTGGAGTGGACAGAGGAAAAGGACCTTATGGTGTTTCTGGTTCTATTTCTCCAAGGCTTTGAAGGTTATAATTAGTTGCTGCTGAATCCCCGTGGCCGTGGCGCCTCACCGCTTTATTTCTGATCTGCGGCCTTCAGGCAGAGAACAGGTTCGATCCAGGCAAGGCCTGTGTGTTTTAATTCAGGCACTTCCTGGAGACCGTTGGGACTTTGACTTGAAGACCATGTTTATGCAAGTCTGGGGAACAGTGTTCGCCAAGCTGCCCTGGGCAAGGGCTGATGGTGGCCTGGTGGTGAGAACACCGTGAACCATCCAGCGTGCCTCCCCCTCTCCAGGTACGTCTGGGCCATGAGCGGGAGAAGAACGGGGCGTGAAGCTGTGGATCACCCTCTTTCACCTTCACCGAGCCATGATGGCTCCCCGGGATCCTGGGCACAGAAAAGTGGGGGTGCAGGTGGTGTAGACGAGAGAGCAGCCTGTGTCCATCATCCCCCTTTCCCCATTCGCACGTGTACATTCCCGATCTTGAACGAGATCTCTCTGGGTTCTCTTTAACTATGTCTTCAAGAGTTTGTCAGATGTGGAGAGTTGGAGTTAGGGTTTCTCATCCAGACCCCCACCTTTGGAAATCCCCAAACTAGAAATGGAAATGGAACACACTAGCAATGGGGAATAAATGATACTGAAGAGCAGTGAATAATTCGAATGGTCTAGGGGTCTCGTGTGTCAGGAGGACTGATCACGTTCGGCACTAAGGTATTAGAGAAGAATCCATACTCACAGAGCAGGTCCCTTCGTGGGTGGTGTTTAGAGTCCGGTCCTCGATGCCTATTTGACCTTGAGAGGCCTGGGAATACTGCCGGGGGTGGGGGGAGTAGGAGATGGGGGTGCTTGTTTGATTTGTAGAGTCAGCCCAAGACCTTCTGAAATAGCATTTCTTTTTAGTTAGTTTGAAGCTTCCTCTTCTGCTTTTGATTTTGCTGATTGGGTCAGTGGTGGGGAGGGGGGTATTGCTAATCTCATTATGACAGTATTTTTAAATGAAGTAAAGTAGATAGGAGATCAAGGCTTTTAGCTTTAAATCATCATTTTGGAGCACATCAGTGTCTAGCTGAGTCTTTGAGGGTTGCTGCTCTTTCTGGGCGGATGAAGCAGTCAGAGAAGCAGCAGAGCGCGTTTCTCCTCTTTTTCCTGGTTGTGGGTTTCTCAGCGGATTACCATCTGCTGTGAAAACATACTCTGGTTGATGGATGGGTCCTCCTCGGGTCCGGCTTTCTTTGTCTCCCGTCCTCCCCCATTCCTTTCTTCTCCTCCCGCTCTCACTCTGTGCACGTGTGTGCATCCTCAGTCTCATAAACACATCGGGTTTCTGCTTCTTTGATTGTTTAGGCCATGCTGGAAATTTCCATTTTCTTCTTCTGTCAGCGTCTTCAGGACAAATGTGTACACAAAGGCAAATGGCTTTCAAAGGAGGCTCCGTCCTCCTCTCGGGGCTTGGTGCAGACATCAAATTGAAGGCCGTTCAGCTGTACCTGACGCTGGTTCTCAGCAGCCTGGAGATTAACCTCTTCTAAGGCTCTGAGCTATTTTTGAGGTAGAGACTGCAACAACATTAAAGCTAGAACCCATTAGGAAATCACTTTCATCATCTCTTCTTTTTCCAAATCAGTGGGTTGTTTTTTTCCCCCTGATCTCATGACCCTTTAATCTCCTTTGTAGCAGAACAAGGAGACTGTTGGTTTGTGTTTGCATCCAGTGAAGTTGGAATCCTTGATAACAGCTTCCGAAGACACCAAGATATTAGAGAACCGCATAGCGAGATGAATTTCATGTCTGGGTGGATGACTTAGTGCTGAAGGTACCCTGCTTTCCTTGTGCAGAACCATCATTTTTGTTGATGTTGTGCAAACCGGGCTCAAAATTTCCAAAAGACACACAGCAGAAAGCCTTTTGTTGCGTTATTTCTAAAGGCTTGAAGTTTTGAAGGGAAGAGATTTTGTTTTCCTCTCGGGCTACACAATGGAGCTTTCAGAGAACCTCTTTTAAAAGGAATAGCTACAGCCTTTGTGTTGAAGGGTGTGTCTGTTGGCAGGGTCTGCTGATGCAGACAGACTGGCTGGTGATTAACAAAGGTCATTAGACTTTGGAATCTGGCAAGCAGAGTCGGATGGTATGTCTTCTGTGTGTGGAAGGACGACTCCCAAGAAGCCAAGGCATTCTGGAGGTCCCCCCCAGCCCACCCCCAAATCCTGCTGTAGAACAGGGTCTGGTCCAGGATCGTCCTGCCATAACCAGTCAGCTCTGCTGGGACTAACGAACAAGCTTATCAATCATGGGATAAAAGAACCTTCGGAGATCTTGGTGAATGACATTTGAGGAGGAGAAAGGTGCTGCTTTTCGGAAAGCAGTGCAAACAGTTCATTCTTTGTTGGGAGCAGAAGAGCATAGGAGGAGCCCAGCCTGTTCTTCTACTGCTCATTTCTGATTGTCAGCCTAGCAGAATCCCAGAGAAGCCATGTTGTGCACGGAAGAGAAGCTCCGAGCTAAAATGGCCGCTCCTGAAGCTCAGAGGACTAGGGCAGCTTAGTGAGTCTTAGAGCTTCGGTGACGCAGGAGCTCATATCTCTTGAAAGTGTGATAAACACTTTCAGCAGAGCTGTGGCTTGTTTGGCTGAGATGAAAGGGCTAGGCTTGGGGGATGGGGAGTGCACACTGGATGGTCTGCTTTTTTCTGTGAAGTGTTCTAAATGCAGGAGTCGTCTGCACCATGGAAAAATTTGTTTTCAGGTCTAATGGACTGTGCGAAAGGAGAAGTGGGGTGGGGCCTCAGTGACGGCTGTAATTTGATCCAGAGCTGATAGCAACCTCTTCCACACAATTTGGGTTGGCGCTTAGGCATAAAAGCTTGTGTATCTCGAATGTTGAGACTTAGCTGAAAAGACTCTGGTGCACCGTTCAGTGTTTATTGAAAAAGGATAGATTGCTGGGTGAAAGAAGAGGAGGTAAATATCTGTGTCTCACTCTGCAAGCTCAGTCTGTCCAGAGCTGGACTTGCCAGAAGTTATTTTAGCAGGCTATCAGCAGGAGCATTCTTTCATAGAAAATCCGCCCGCAATGGCTCCTTTCTCTACATTTGACACATCGCTTGACTTTGTTCCTCCTGCAGAATCAATTTACCTTTTGCCCTAAAAGTAGCAAAAGTTGCAGTACAGTAGAAGTCTAGGAAGATCTGGCAAAGGCTTTAGTCCTTGGACATCTGGTTCTAGATTGCAGTGACTCAGTAGAGTTTGCGGTGAGCTCCATGAAGTAACTCACTGATTAAGATAATAACCGGGTATCTCAGCTCAAGATATGTATTACGATGGGACAGACTACACCTTCTAATACATTTTTAATTGCTTAATGGTGAACCTCTCCGTTGAGTTAGTGGGAAGCTATCTGTGTCTCTCCATCACCCAGCGAAGAACAGAGTGAAGGTAGCTGGGCAAGTTTTGCTTTATTCTGCCCCAGGTTTGCAGCTTTTTGTGGGCAAGTACACACTGCATGTTTGTCAAGGAGAGGCGTAGGAAGGGAGTCGCAGCTTAGAAGCCCCTCTTCAAAACTGTGTTTGTTACCTTAATGTAAACCCTAGGTATCAAGGTACAACTCTAAACTAGAAACTGGATTGTCATTTGAAGTTGGTGGTTAGAGAATCTCATGAGAAAAAATAGTTTATGACCTAATTAGTTGGAGAAGGTGTTAGGTTGTAATTGGTAGATAGTAAAGAGCAAAATAACCATTTAGCTTATGAAACGCATACACAAATGTGCGTGCGCACACACAACTAAACTGGGGAAAGGAGGAAAGAGGCATACCCCAATATCAGTTAAAGTATTAGAATAACAAAAGGCATAATAAAAGCTCTCTCTACCAGCACCCAAAATTCAATACTATTTCACCATTTGGGGATGAAACATCAATGTTCTAATATTAGAACAGCTAATGAAGATTGAAATTTGTCCTTTTTTCTGTACAGACATCCTCTTTACTTCTGAGAAGGTTCTAGTTCCCCCCGCCCAAAAAAAAAAAAAAAAAAAAAGGTCCAAGCCAGAATCAAAGTCAATACTGACTTGACAAGAAATTTGAAATCAGTCAAGAAATTCAGAAACTACTAAAACTCTTGAACTGCTAAGGGTTTCCTTGACCAATGGCATTTGAAGATGTATTTATATCAAAGTGGGAAATGTTTATCTGGGTCCCCCCCCACCCGCCCCTACACTTTTTTGATGTTTGGATCTCAAGGACACTATCCCTGTTACGTCTGGTTGCATTTCTTTGGTGGACATTCCAACTGGCATAGTTCAGTGAAAGATCTGCTGATACTAGAAATGTTTCTGTTAATGGACTTGTAGCCCCATCGACTTGGGATATTTAGCTAGTACAGTTCTTCAGACACTGTATTCTGACTTTTGTCACAGGTTCCTAATGTGAGAAGGTAGGCCCAGATCATGGAGGTGCTACAGTGTGATGGCTGTGACTTCCGAGCCCCATCTTACGAAGATCTCAAGGCGCACATCCAGGATGTCCACACAGCATTTCTGCAGCCAACTGATGTTGCTGAAGACAATGCTAATGAGCCACGATCCGGGTCCATGAACGCCAGTAACCAGACAGAGGTGGAGTATTCTTCGATAAAGGACGAATTTGCAATCGCAGAGGATTTATCAGGTAAATCTTTGCTGATTCTGGGTATATCTGATCTGTTTCATGGCGCTTCTCTAGTTTTAGCCTGTAGCCATGGTTCTTGGCACGTGTGGCTTCTTCAGAGTTCCTTGCTCTCTGCGAGCCGTCTTTGCAATTAGGGCGTCATGTTTCTCTACCTGAGTGTCCTATGTTATTGTCCTTTTAGCTTCCTTTATGTCTCTTAGTTTCCTTTCAATTTGGAGAACAGGATAGTACCTTGTAGAATTCTGGGATGAATGTCGCAGTATGGGAAATGCATCTTTTTATAGCCCTAGGGCACGTTAGTGGAGATGAAGTGAGTATCGTCTCTAAAGCTGAACACTGCGTTTTCATCTGTGAGAAGCGCTATGTGTGTGTTCATTAATGCTTCATTAATACTCTTCAGGGCCTCATCTGGAGATGTTATTAGGACTTTCGAATGTGATGTTTATTAATGAAGAACAGTTGAAAAGAAAAATTGATTTGCATGATGAAATTTCTTAATCTCTTTTGTTTGCTTTTCTATTCTCACTTACCTCGTGCTTTCTCTTTAGGTCAAAATGCAACTGCATTGGGGACCGGAAGCTACTATGGCCACAGTCCAGGATATTACGGTCAGCATATTGCCCCTAATCCCAAACCAACAAACAAGTTTTTTCAATGCAAGTTCTGCGTACGCTACTTCAGGTCAAAAAATCTCCTCATCGAACACACAAGGAAGGTCCACGGAGCTCAAGCTGAAGGGAGTTCGGCGGGCCCCCCTGTCCCAGGATCCTTAAATTATAATATCATGATGCATGAGGGATTTGGAAAGGTCTTCTCTTGCCAGTTTTGCACATACAAGTCACCGAGGAGGGCGAGAATAATTAAGCACCAGAAGATGTATCACAAAAACAATTTGAAGGAGACCACTGCTCCCCTCCCTGCCCCTGCTCCAATGCCAGACCCTGTGGTCCCACCCGTGTCCCTGCAAGACCCCTGCAAGGAACTGCCAGCAGAGGTCGTGGAGCGCAGCATCTTAGAGTCCATGGTCAAGCCTTTGACCAAGTCTCGAGGCAACTTTTGCTGTGAGTGGTGCAGCTACCAGACCCCCCGCCGGGAGCGCTGGTGTGATCACATGATGAAGAAGCATCGCAGCATGGTCAAGATCCTTTCCAGCCTCCGCCAGCAGCAAGAAGGGACTAACCTCCCCGATGTGCAGAACAAAAGCACCCCCAGCCCCACTTCCAACTCCACCTATCTGTCCATGAATGCTGCAAGCCGGGAGATGCCCAGCGCCAACGTCTCCAACTTCCGGGGCTCCGTCAGTAACTCCATCATGAGACCCAATTCTTCGTCCGCTTCCAAGTTTCCACCCATGTCTTACCCTCAGATGAAGCCGAAGTCCCCTCACAACTCTGGCCTTGTTAACTTGGCGGAGAGATCGCGTTATGGCATGGCTGACATGACCAATTCCTCTGCTGACCTGGAAACCAACAGCATGCTGAATGACTCCAGTTCTGATGAAGAGTTGAACGAGCTAGATAGCGAGAACGGCTTGAATGCCATGGATCACCAGACGTCAGGCATATCTGCAGAGCAGCTGATGGGCTCGGACGGCAACAAGTTGCTGGAGACCAAGGGGATTCCGTTTAGAAGGTTCATGAATAGGTTCCAGTGCCCCTTCTGTCCCTTCCTCACTATGCATCGACGTAGCATCTCCCGTCACATAGAAAACATCCATTTGTCCGGAAAGACCGCCGTCTACAAATGTGATGAATGTCCATTTACTTGCAAGAGCTCGTTGAAGCTTGGGGCTCACAAGCAGTGTCACACGGGTACAACGTCAGATTGGGATGCTGTGAATTCCCAGAGCGAGAGCCTTTCTGCTTCCCTGAACGAAGGTGTCGTGTCTTATGAGAGCTCGAGCGTCAACGGCAGAAAGCCGGGGGTCCTGTTGGATCCCCTGCAGCAGCAACAGCCGCCACCCCCGCCGCCACCGCCACCCCCACCGCCGTCCCAGCCGCAGCCACCGCAGCTACAGCCGCCCCACCAGGTGCCAGCCCAGCCGCAGCCCCAGCCCCCGCCAGTGCAGCCGCCCCAGCCGCCTGTGCCAGCCCCACCCCTACACCCTTACAAATGCACCATGTGTAATTACTCCACCACGACTCTGAAAGGGCTACGGGTCCATCAGCAGCACAAGCACTCGTTCTGCGACAACTTGCCAAAATTCGAGGGGCAGCCCTCAAGCCTGCCGTTGGAGAGTGAGACAGACAGCCACCCCTCTTCCAGCAACACTGTGAAGAAAAGTCAGACCTCAATTCTTGGGTTGTCCTCCAAGAACAATTTTGTAGCTAAGGCCTCTAGGAAGCTCGCCAACGACTTTCCCCTCGATCTGTCGCCCGTGAAGAAGAGAACGAGGATCGACGAGATTGCAAGCAACCTGCAGAGCAAAATCAACCAGACAAAGCAGCAGGAGGACGCGGTGATCAACGTGGAGGACGACGAGGAGGAAGAGGAAGACAACGAAGTGGAGATAGAGGTCGAGTTGGACAGGGAGGAAGAGCCCATAGAGCCGGTCATGGAGGTGTCCACATCCTTCTCGGCCCAGCAGATCTGGGCGAGAGACGCCGGCGAGCCCCAAAAGGAGCCCAGCTTCAGAAGCGTCGCCCACGACTACAACGCCACCAACGGGGCGGAAATTGAGCTCACCCTTTCTGAAGACGAAGAGGATTACTATGGCTCCTCGGCCAATATGAAAGACCACCAGGTTTCCAGTACTGCTCTGCTGAACACCCAGACTCCCATCTATGGGACAGAGCACAGTAACGAGAACACAGACTTTGGTGACTCTGGACGGCTTTATTATTGCAAACACTGTGACTTTAACAACAAATCAGCCCGGAGTGTCAGCACCCACTACCAACGGATGCACCCTTATATCAAGTTCAGCTTTCGGTACATCTTGGACCCCAACGACCACAGTGCCGTGTACAGGTGCCTGGAATGCTACATTGACTACACCAACTTTGAAGACCTGCAGCAGCATTACGGTGAACACCACCCAGAAGCCATGAATGTACTCAACTTCGACCATTCGGACCTGATCTACCGGTGTCGGTTTTGTTCCTACACGAGCCCGAACGTCCGAAGCCTGATGCCGCATTACCAAAGAATGCATCCCACAGTCAAGATCAACAACGCGATGATATTTTCCAGCTATGTCGTGGAGCAGCAGGAAGGGCTGAATACGGAATCTCAGACACTGAGGGAGATTCTGAATTCAGCCCCCAAGAGCATGGCGACTTCCACTCCCGTGGCTCGCGGTGGCGGTCTGCCGGCTACATTTAATAAAAACACTCCTTCAAAGACCTATACTCCAGAATGTGAAAATCAGAAGGACCCCTCAGTTAACACTGTTGTCGTTTACGATTGTGACGTTTGCTCGTTTGCAAGCCCCAACATGCATTCTGTCTTGGTTCATTATCAGAAGAAACACCCGGAAGAAAAGGCTTCCTACTTTAGGATCCAGAAAACCATGCGAATGGTGTCTGTGGACAGGGGCTCTGCCCTTTCTCAATTATCATTTGAGGTGGGTGCTCCAATGTCTCCCAAAATGTCCAACATGGGTTCCCCACCCCCCCCACAACCCCCGCCACCAGACCTCAGTACTGAGCTTTACTACTGCAAACACTGTTCCTACAGCAATCGGTCAGTTGTGGGAGTGCTTGTCCACTACCAGAAAAGACACCCAGAAATAAAGGTCACTGCCAAATATATCAGACAGGCTCCTCCCACAGCTGCAATGATGAGAGGGTCTGAGGGGCCCCAAGGCTCCCCTCGGCCACCCGCCCCCATGCAACAGCTGAACCGCAGCAGCTCTGAGCGAGATGGCCCTCCTGTGGAGAACGAGATGTTCTTTTGCCAGCACTGTGATTATGGGAACCGGACAGTCAAGGGTGTCCTCATTCACTATCAGAAGAAGCACCGAGACTTCAAGGCCAATGCAGATGTGATCCGGCAGCACACGGCCACCATCCGAAGCCTCTGTGACCGGAACCAGAAGAAGCCTGCCAGCTGTGTGCTCATGGCCCCCTCCAGCGTGGAGCGGGACAAAGCGAAACTTCGAGCGCTCAAGTGTAGGCAGTGCTCGTATACCTCCCCCTACTTCTATGCACTGAGGAAGCATATCAAGAAAGACCACCCTGCCCTGAAGGCCACAGTCACGTCCATCATGCGGTGGGCATTCCTTGATGGCTTGATAGAAGCTGGCTACCACTGCGAGTGGTGCATCTATTCGCACACAGAGCCCAACGGTCTGCTCCTGCATTACCAGAGGAGGCATCCAGAGCATTACGTTGACTACACTTACATGGCTACCAAACTCTGGGCTGGGCCAGACCCGTCCCCTCCCTCCCTCGCGCTGCCCACAGAAGCCAAAACGTACCGATGCAGAGACTGTGTCTTTGAGGCCATGTCCATCTGGGACATCACCAATCACTACCAGGCATTCCATCCCTGGGCGATGAATGGTGATGAGTCGGTGCTGCTGGATATCATCAAGGAGAAAGATGCCATCGAGAATCCCCTCCCCCCCTCCGCCGAAGAGCTGGTGGGTCCCGTGAATTGTGAAAACAGCTTGCCCACTCCACTCCCCGAGCAGGACGCAGAGTGCCCAGACGACCCGAGGCTCTCCCCAGAGAAGAGCATCCAGCTGGCCTCGGCCAACCCGGCCATCTCGTCCACCCCGTACCAGTGCACAGTTTGCCAGTCTGAGTACAACAACCTGCATGGCCTGCTCACCCACTACGGAAAGAAGCACCCCGGCATGAAGGTGAAGGCTGCCGACTTTGCCCAGGACATCGACATCAACCCCGGCGCCGTGTACAAATGCAGACACTGCCCCTACATCAACACCCGCATCCACGGCGTCCTGACGCACTACCAGAAGCGCCACCCGGCCATCAAGGTGACCGCCGAGGACTTCGTGCACGATGTGGAGCAGTCCGCGGACATAGCCCAGAACGACGTGGAGGAGACGAGCAGGATCTTCAAGCAAGGCTACGGCGCCTACCGTTGCAAACTGTGTCCCTACACGCACGGCACGCTGGAGAAGCTCAAGATCCATTACGAGAAGTACCACAATCAGCCCGAATTCGACGTCTTTTCCCCGTCGCCCCCGAAGCTGCCGGTCTCCCTGGAGCCCGAGATGGCCACGGAAGTGAGCCCCTCCCAGGTATCCGCTGCTGAGGAGGACGTGGGAGAGGAGCCCATGTCCACGTCGCACTTCTCAGCCTCGCATCTGGTCTCCCACACTGTGTTCCGGTGTCAGCTCTGCAAGTACTTCTGTTCCACGAGGAAGGGCATCGCCAGGCACTACCGCATCAAGCACAACAACGTCCGCGCCCAGCCAGAGGGCAAGAACAACCTCTTCAAGTGCGCCCTGTGCGCCTACACCAACCCCATCCGCAAGGGGCTGGCGGCCCACTACCAGAAGCGCCACGACATCGACGCCTACTACACCCACTGCCTGGCCGCCTCCCGGACCATCAGCGACAAGCCCAACAAGGTGATCATCCCTTCCCCGCCCAAGGATGACTCCCCGCAGCTCAGCGAGGAGCTGCGGCGGGCCGTGGAGAAGAAAAAGTGCTCGCTGTGCTCCTTCCAGTCCTTCAGCAAGAAGGGCATCGTGTCCCACTACATGAAGCGCCACCCGGGGGTGTTCCCGAAGAAGCAGCACGCCAGCAAGCTGGGCGGCTATTTCACGGCCGTCTACGCGGACGAGCACGAGAAGCCGGTGCTGATGGAAGAGGAGGAGAGAGGCAGCTTCGAGAAGGCCGAGGTGGAGGGAAGCGAAGCTGCGGAGACCGAGTGGCTCCCGTTCCGCTGCGTCAGGTGCTTCAAGCTGTCCTTCAGCACGGCCGAGCTGCTGTGCATGCACTACACCGACCACCACAGCCGGGACCTCAAGAGGGACTTCGTCATCCTGGGCGGCGGCCCCCGCCTGCAGAGCCCCGCCTACCAGTGTAAGCACTGTGATAGCAAACTGCAAAGCACAGCGGAGCTGACCTCACACTTGAACGTTCACAATGAGGAATTCCAGAAGCGTGCCAAACGTCAGGAGAGGAGGAAACAGCTTTTGAGCAAGCAGAAATATGCAGATGGTGCTTTTGCAGATTTCAAACAAGAGAGGGTAAGGCTATGTTTTGATTTCCCTTCCCCCAGGAGGCCTCTCATCACTGGTGCCCACACGCACTTCTTCGTTGCCAGCCAAACTGCTACAGGCTTCCTAGTGACTTAGCTTTGCCAGAGAGCTCCATAAGTCAATTAAACGTTTCGAGCTTGATTAGCCCCCCATCCTAGGCTCGCCCTCCTCCACGGCCCCGCTCCCCTCCCTCCCACAATCCCAAGGCTCCCCCGGGGAGGGCCGGGGTGGTTTCTCTGTATCTCCTTCCGCCAAGTAGCCTTACGTGAGGCCCCGTTGCACGACGCCGCTCGCTCTCTTTCTAAGGCAGCTGTGGGCCGTCTCTTGGTGTCAGCCGTGGTGCTGGTCCGCAGTGTCTGCTACAGGAACCTACCATCTCCAGGAGTAGATTTGTCTGATTGGTTGGTTTTCGGTTTTGGGGTTTTTTTGTTTGGTTATTTTTCCTGGTCAAGACGTTCACTAATGGCGTAGCTATGCAACGTTTCACCTGCGTGGTTGACACTGCTTTGAAAACCACCCGACGCGGTGGCCGTGACCATGACGCTTCTCCACAGAACTCTGCTCTCCTCACAAGTCGTAACATGTGTGGGTTCCGGAGACTTTTGCGTGGCAGGCAGCGCGCCACGGCTCTGACGACCTCGTTCTGTAAACACACAGCCGTATCTCTCCCTTGGTTTCTAACCTGCTAATCCACTTTGAAATAAAGTCCGCTAGTAAGCGACAAGCGTAAACGCCGGCGTGCGAGGGAGGGCTCGGAGTACTGATGGCTACCACTGTATTTTACCAGCCTTTTGGTCACTTAGAAGAGGTGCCAAAGATCAAGGAGAGGAAGGTGGTGGGCTACAAGTGTAAATTCTGTGTGGAAGTGCACCCGACGCTCCGAGCCATCTGCAACCACCTGCGGAAGCACGTCCAGTATGGCAGCGTCCCCGCCGTGTCCGCCGCCGTGAAGGTGAGAGTCGGGGAGGGGGGAGGTGTGGATGAGCGGTCAGGTGTGTGAGCCGCTGGAGTCACTGATTAACCCCCCCCCCCCACAGCCCCCACCCCCCACCGTTGCGCAAAGCAGCTCAGGAAAGGGCGTCCCAGGATGTGGGCATTCCTGAGCTGCGCTTGGATCGGTCTGGCTTGTTTTGATTTTTTTGCAGGTTGGACCCTCTTCATCTTTCGTGTCTCGACCCGGTCGTGTTTCGATCTGGTTCCCTTCCACGCGGATAGTTTGGTGGAAACGGAAGATCCGGGCCTCTCGGGACAGGAGGCTTTGGGTCGCCCTTCTGTTCTGCATGTAGTGCCGTTAGGTGTTACGCTCTTCCAAGTTGCCCGAGCTCTTGAGAGGAATCAAGTGGGTCCTGTTCCCATCATCTTCTGCTCCTCCCACTGCCTGACTTCTTACTGTTCTCATCCTGCTGATGGTGCAGAGAGCCCAGGAGGATCTTTTACTTCTTATCCTGGGTCCTCTGAGGAGCGTGAGACACATGAAATCTAAAACTATGGGCCTTTGAGTCACAGTAGGCCCCAAGAACCCCTTGCCCTAATTTGGCTCCTTTATCCCCTTTTTACCTATATGTCGCTGACCGGTGTCTTCTCTCCCTGCCCCAGCTTCGATTAGGCTGCCTGTTTTGGACGTCATAATCCTGAGAGCAGCCACAGTTTCGGGGACCTGCCTTCCAGGATATGGCTAAGCACTGATTTTTGAGCAGAGAAGTTAGTTAGTTCGGGGCTTGGCTATTTCTCTCTAGATACGTGAATGTGTTTTCGTTATTGGCCTTTCTCCATCTGGTGACCTGTTTTTGCCCATGTAATATGGACATAAAGTCTCTGCTTTCCTTCGCTGAAGACAGAAGCCCCTCTGGCTCCCAGCAGAACAGTGGCCCCTGGGGGCAGCGGCAGTCAGCCTCTTCCGTGCCACCACAGTGTGTCCCAGGCTTGTTTCCTGGAGTCAGTCGAGGGAGATAGAGCAGTTCTTCGTGTGTAATCAGTAACCCAAGGAGTCACCTCCAAACACGGGTATCTTAAACTCGGGCTCCTCAAGTTTTTCAGTGGATCATACAGCAGCCTCCCATTCAGTGGGTTAAGTCACCATACGCAGGGTGGGGAGGAGCATGGGTGGCAAAGGGCAGGGTCCTTCCCTTTCCTTCATTTCCCAAGGATGGCCCACGCTGGCTCCTAGATGCCCAAACCTCTCTGCTGTGTTTTCTTCTTCCTTCCTTTACTTTTCTCTGAGCCATAACCCTAACCCTGCTTTGTGTGAGTTCAGGTGGGATGGCAATTTGAATTTTCTTTCTAAGATGGGAGCAAAATGAGTGAATGATCTTCACAGTGGGAGAGCCTCTCTCTCGTGTTTCCCAGGCAGTGGCAGCCCGTGCCCAGACATGTTGCCTTCACATCACCACCACTGCATGGCAGGCGGGTTTGCCCTCCCTCTAGGGGGAGCTGGAGAGGCAGGGGAGGAAGCTTGAACTGGAGATGCTGATGAGTTTGGGAGAATGAAGGGAGAGGAGGAATGCTGAAGACGATGATGATGGATATTTATTTTGTTGGTGGGGCATGTGTGTGTGTGTGGTTCTCTTAGCAGGAGGCCGAAGACCCTTCCCACTTGTTCCTGGATGGATTGGAAGTCGCCAAAGATGCCAGTGGCACCCTGGTGGACCGGGTGGATGGTGAACACTGCTTGCTTGATGGAATGTTGGAGGATGAAACCCGGCCGGGGGGATACCATTGTAGTCAATGTGACAGAGTCCTGATGTCCATGCAGGGGCTGCGTTCTCATGAGAGGAGCCATCTGGCCCTGGCCATGTTTACCCGCGAGGACAAGTACAGCTGCCAGTATTGCTCCTTTGTTTCTGCTTTCAGGCACAAGTAAGTGCTGTTGCATGCCCGCAGGCAGGGAGGAGGGAGGTGTCCTAGCGGGAGGCAGCTGAGCTGGAGCAGGGGTTGGGGGGTAGCGAGGTGGGGGGTGGGTGGAGGTGTCCAAGAGCCCCACTGAGGGCTTTCGCCTGCTGCTTAGGTTACCTTGAACCTCAGTCACCCCGTCTGTCAAATGGGGCTAAGAGCCCCAGGTTACTTAACATTAGACGTGGCAAATACAGGTCTTTTTCACAAGTGGCTATTTTAGAGGCCTTGCTCAGATTTACAAAAGACTAGAAAGTAGAGGAATTTATTGGTGTTATCCGTCAAACATTCATCCAGAACCTCATTGTCATTTGAGGAAGTAAAGTTCCATTTAGGAAATTGAGGGTCTATGGAGGTAAAATTAGGACTATTCATTCCCTGTTGTGACCAAAGAACCATTGCTTGAGATGTTTCTTAAAAAGACCTTGAAAAGTAAGGAGGTTCCTGATGCCAAGAGGTGCTTTTGAAGTAAAGGGAGGTTGAGTGGAAGGAGCTGCCCGAGGCCAATCACAGCTTTGGAGTCATGGATTTGGAGTATTGTGACTGGCATTTGGGGGTGATGGGAAGGGGGGTGGTTCCGAGAAGAAACCACCTTTTATTGCCTTTCTCTGAACTGTCTGAGAGGGATACGCTATGAGCAATGTGTGCCACCATCTTGGATGGAGGTGACTGATTAGAAGACTGACATGCTGTTTATCTTTAGGATGATTGAAAGTAAATGTTGGGTTGGTTGCTTCTTAAAAAGATAAAGTGCTGGATAGTTGTTGAAAGCCGGAAGGAGGCAATGCTTGTCCAGAGGGTAGGATGGGTTACAGATCCTGAATTCTACGAAGACTAATGTCTCATCTTTGTTGTCAGATCTGTGCGCCGACGTAAAGCTTGTGTAGTTCTCATCAGTTTAAGAAGTATGTATTCCCCAGCATCTGTCCTGCTTCCTGACACCCAGTAGAGGCTCGGCAGATCCCTGTGAATAAATGGACACACCCGTGCTAGGCAGTGTGCTGGGGACTTGGGGGATATGAGGGGCGTATAAAGATGAAGAGGCCATGGTCAGGGAGCTAAGGGAATTTACGGGCTAGGGGAGTTATAAATAAAGCAAGCACACAAATGAGGCAAAACAAGGCACATATCTTTCAAAAATGTACAGTAAAATGCTATGAAATTTCAGAGAAGGGTAATGTGACACCCACTGTGGAAGAATTGAGAAGGTTTTATGGAGTAGGGAGCATTTGAATCAGGTCTTAAAGTCGGAAGACAGGGGGCGCCTGGGTGGCTCAGTGAGTTAAGCCTCTGCCTTCCACTCAGGTCATGATCCCAGGGTCCTGGGGTGGAGCCCTGCATCAGGCTCCCTGCTCAGCAGGGACCTGCTTCCCCCTCTCTGCCTGCTTCTCTGCCTACTTGTGATCTCTGTCAGTCAAATAAATAAATAAATAAAATCTTAAAAAAAAAAAAAAAAGTCAAAGACAGGACTTGTATAGTTTGGAATGGGCGTACAACATGGTGTAAGGGATGAGAGCATAAGCCCATGGAATGGAGCATGTAGCTGGTGGGCGCCCGGCTGGTGGTCTAGTCTGACTAATCTTTAAGGTATATGTAAAAGAATAGGGGAAGATAGAGTACGAAGACTTGAGTAGAGACCATATTTGGAGTCTTTGAATGCAGAATTAAGACGTTTTAATTTACATTACCAGCAAAAGGAAGACTCTGAAATGAGTAGAGTCATCATAATTGCTAACATTTATTAAGACCTACTATGTGTCAGGCAGTGTGCTAAGCGCCTTCAAGTATTATCTCTTATCATTCTTAAGTCAGCCCTGTGAGGTACAGTCCCACTATGTCTCCATTTTGTGGATTAGAAAGGTGAGGAGGTTTATTTATGTAACTTGCCCAGGCCATTTGGTTTATAAGCAATAGCTGGGATTTGAACCCAGGCAGTCTCACTCCATAGCTCATGCTCTTGAGTTGACAAAAAAAAAAAAAAAGACGAGAGAAACCAATTAGGAGGCAGTAATAGTAGGTAATCCAAGAAGTTAGAATGGAACTTTGGGAATGGTTGAAAGAAGTAGGATCTTAGTGATTTGGAAAAATTGACTATAATATAGGGGATGAGGGATGAGAGACAAAGTAGAGGACAGATAATACCCAGGTGTTCCGTCTGGTTGACTGAGAATGGTGGAAGGAAAGAAGGAAGAAAGCAAGGAAAGGAGGAAAAGTGGCTGTTTGGAGGTGGCGGGGGGGCGGTACTGATGGTTTTGTTTAAGGGCTGGTTGAATTTAAGAAAGCTGAAGGACACCCAGAGGGAGATGTGAGGAGGTGATTGAAAGTGCAGCTTTGGAGCTCAAAACATTGTGTATTTAAATGGTAAGCAACACCATTCCCAGATGAGTCATTTAGAATGGAATCTAGTTCTCTGAGGTACCGATTCAAATTAGAACACCTTCCCACACCTTGTTTGGGAGATTTATTATTTTTTAGACTACTAATTATTAGGAAATACTGGGAGTTCACCATAATTAAATAACTTCTTTATAAGTTGCTCTGGAAGACTGAGGTACAGCAAACATGGTAGTGTTTATCAGAAGGGATAAGTGGCCTTTGGATCACAAGACTTCTTTGAAACCTACCTTCCAGTTGCCTCCATATTTATAAAGATGTTGGAGACGTGACAGCCCATTGCAAGTAGCTCAACTACCTTGGAATTTCCCTTCCCCTCCTGAGTGTTCACCATGAATACAGAGTTGAGATTTAAAAAGAAAGCCCTTTCTAAATGCAAAATTTCTCTACTTCCCTTTTTTTTTTTTTTTTTTTTTAATAAATTAAGGGACTATTTGATAGGCACTCCTCACCACCTTGGCAGAAAACTTTCATGCCCTGGTATTTCATCTTTTCTCTTTAGATGCCCTCTTCTGATTATACATGCTTCCAGGGAAGGGAAAATGTTCCCACTGCCATGTATTTCAATCCAAAAAGTCTCTTGCTATCTTGTTTCCTTGAGCCCCTCCCTTTCAAGTAGGCATGACCACTCTTGTCATTTTTGTCATTGTTGTTTTTGGTTTGGGTAAGCACCATTGTTGAGCAAAATGACTTTGAGCAGCTTAGAAGTGGGATTGCTAGAAAAGGGCAGGGAGAAAAAATATATGTAATTGTTAATCCTGTCCTGTTTCTCTCTCTATTTTTCTTTTCCATCAAGCTTGGATCGCCATATGCAAACCCACCATGGACACCATAAACCATTCCGGTGCAAACTCTGCTCCTTCAAGTCCTCCTATAACAGCCGGCTGAAAACACACATACTCAAGGCTCACGCTGGTGAGTTGGCCTTCCTGATGCAGGAGTCCTCTGGATTTGAAATCCTATGGTCTTCCCTGAGCGAAAGTCAAAGTCTCTTATCCCGCACATGAGAAGAAGTTATTCTTGACTTGGTTGCTTATTTATTTATATTTTAATCTAATGAAAAAACATAAAGAAAAATTATAGAATAACCTGAAGCCAAAATAAGCCAAAGGTGACCAAGCCCATGTCACCTAAGTCATAGTTGAGATGTTCTACTAACAGGCTTTGTTTCTGTTGTTGTTGTTGTTGTTGTTTAAAGATTTTATTTATGTATTTGCCAGAAAGAGACACAGCGAGAGAGGGAACACAAGCAAGGAGAGTGGAAGAGGCAGAAGCAGGCTTTCTGCTGAGCAGGGAGCCCGATGCGGGACTTGATCCCAGGACCCTGGGATCATGACCTGAGCTGAAGGAAGATGCTTAACAACTGAGCCACCCAGGCACCCCTGTTTTTTGTTTGTTTGGTTGGTTTCTTATAGGAATTTCTAAATTACCTAGCCTTTTTTTTTTTTTAAGATTTTTATTTATTTATTTATTTGAGAGAGAGAGACAGAGAGAGCATGAGCAGGGGGAGGGGCAAAGGGAGAGGGAGAAACAGACTCCCCTGCTGATCAGGGAGCCCGATGCAGGGCTTGAACCAGGACCCTGGGATCATGACCCAAGCCGAAGGTTTAACTGACTGAGCCACGCAGGTGCTCCTACCTGGCCTTTCTAATGGAAATGCATGAACTGTTAGCATCTACTGAAGATAATTCCCAACTAAAATGAAAGTATAATCTTGAGGAAGTTCAAAGGGACAGAGTCCCTAAGACATGCAAGATTTCTCATGACTGCACATACACCCTTAGTTAGAGTCCCTCTCCGAGGTTTTAACCAGCTTTCCTGGTGTTGGGTCCTGTCGAACTGGCCTCATGGAATAAAACTCCTGAAGCCATCCAGCTGTTCCCAGCCCCACTGGGCATGATGGGATGGGGAGACTGGTTCTAGACTTCTGTTCGTATTTTTATACTTTCAGGAAAAGTCTACTGAAGCTATGGAGTAAGAACCTTCAGGGTTCAGACCGCTCTTTTGTGACATGTGTGCATATTGTAAATTCTTCAGCTGGGACAGCATCCTGGGGAGTCTTTCTCACAGATCTCCACCTTGGCCAAAGCGCTGTTAGCAAGAGGAGTTGGGTAAATGATTTGGCCTTGTGTGAAGGAGTTTAAGAAAGTACCAGAGGCTGCCTGGAGACTCCAGGGCAGTGAGGTGACCACGCACACGGTCCTTCTATGCTCACTGGTTGGTGAGAAGGAAGCATCCATAAAGAGAGGTGGAATGCCAGAATTTGTTTCTCTGCACACCTGGGAACCTTGCTGTCTGTGGCATGGCATTCAGTCACTTGAGAGCAGCTTGGCTTGCAAAAAGCCAGTACGTTTTCCAAAACACTTGTGTCATCTTGTCTATGCTATGTGGATTGTTTTATTTTAAAGGGTAAAAGTCACATAGACAAATCAAATAATATCTGGATTTGAATTCTTTCTCATGTTGTGCTACTTGCCACTACCTAACCAGCTTCATGCAGCCAGACTTGCATTAAAAAACTTAAAAATGGAATAAGAAGGGCCGTGGTATTCTATACAATGATTAATATATATTGATATGTGTATTTCTATGTTACATGGTAAATGATATTCTATATATCCATATTTATTATAGTAATAGTTACCAGTGTTGACAACCGGGCATTATCCGGACTCCCAGATAATAGCTGGGGACTGACTGAGGTTCTGGTCGGGGTCGTCTGACTTTGAACTTCTCTTCCATCTTGGGCTGTAGTGTGTTGCGTCACTCAAGTTTCTCTTCAAGGCCTTCTTGGAAGTACGTGCTCTGGGAATCATCAGTGGCAACGCGGAGGCTGAGTGCAGAATCTGGGTTGCTGCACTCACCTCGCATGTGAAGACATTGAGTCATTTTCAAGGTTGGGCGGGGAACAACCCATCTCAGCTGGGTCAGAGCAAGCACAGAGGTTTACCTTCTCATTCCTGCTCCGCGGCTCTGTCCACAGGTCCCCCTCACTGGCCCGCGAAACTTTCCTTGCTGAAGGGCCTTTCTGCTCCTTTTTTCCCCTCTATTTCCTTCTCTTTCCTTACCTCTGGTTTTAAAATTTCGCCTTAAAAAGAAATGTAAAAAAAAAAACAAAAAACAACCAAAAAAAAAACCAACCTGCTCGTTAGAGGAAATTTGGAAATGAAAGAAGAAATAAGAGTCAGTCACCCCATAATCTTATTCTCTAAAGACCACTGTTGTTCACGTTTGATAACACTTCCTTTCAACCATGGCCTCTACAATTATTTTTAACAGTTGTGATTATAAGTGAGTCAAAAATATATCGTGCCTTTCTATTTGTTTTTCTGAAGATCACTATTTTATTTTCTGTTATTTTTTATATTATTTAAGAATTTATTTTAATGAATTACCATTCATCAGGAAGCTGGTCCATATTTACTTAATCATTTCCTTATGGCTGGAAACCCTGTATGTTAAAGGATATTTTCTTAGTATCAGGTTGGAGCGGTGCAGATACTGAGCTGCAAGCATGAGGATTCACATCCTTTGGTTAGAAAAAGCAAAATTGCTTTCTGAGTCGATCAAACCAGTGTTTGTCCCACAACATAAGCATGTCCATTTCACAGTTTGGCTTTTTAAAATGCACTTAATTTAAAAGCTGACTTCGGGCAAAGGTGAACCATAGTCTCATTTGGTCACTGTGTTTCCATGGTATAAAAAAATAATTAAAATAAAAGTGCCTACTTTTACTGAAATGTCCTGTTTATCAAAGAATATTGGAGATACACACGTGCTTATACATATATAACTCTCTCTTGATTTAAAAAAAAAATGACTTACTTTTACCCATTTCTCTGCACTATTGATTAGATAGGGGCATGGAGTTTTATGCTGAGGTTTGTGAACTGGTCCAGAAAAAACAAACTAGGATGTGTGGAATCAAGGAGGTGTATAGTCAGCAAAGACGCAGAGAATGAAAATAGCACAATGGAGTTTGCACTTAGTTACCCTGTGCTTGGAAAGCCACGGATAGGCCCTTGAAATAAGAATTAAGCATATTATATTCTGCAGATGATAAAAAGCATCCTTGAATGAAAGCCGACGTGGTCATTTCTAGTGGAAAGAGAGAGAGAGAGAATGAGAGACTGGAACCCTTTCTGAAGGAGGGATCATAGACATTCAGTTTCACTCCCTGTTGAGGAATCCATGCATGGGTTTGTCCCTGTAAGTAAAGCATGAAATGAAAAGGGACCAGATCACCTGATTATGGAGCTCATGGAAGAGTTTCAGTCCCAGAGGAGCATTGTGGTTGTGGGAAGGGGTGGGTAGCTGGTCTGTGAGGCTTCTTAGACCCTGAAACTTCAGAAGTCGCATCTCTTGCGTGAATTAACTGTACTTCATCTCTTGTGTGAATTAACTATGCCATTTTGTTTTCCACCCCACCTTATACCCTTCCCTCCTTTCCCGTTCTGCCCCTTACCGCCATCTTCTTCCAGGTGAACATGCCTACAAGTGTTCTTGGTGCTCATTTTCCACCATGACAATCAGCCAGTTGAAGGAACACTCCCTCAAGGTCCACGGAAAAGCCCTGACCCTCCCCAGGCCACGAATTGTCAGTCTGCTCTCCTCCCATGCTCACCACTCCTCCCAGAAAGCTACCCCCGCCGAAGAAGTAGAAGACTCTAATGGTAATGAGGGGCTTGCGAGTGCTAGCTCACCACCCAGGGTGGAGCGGGGCTGGGATTAACTGCCAGTCATTCTTCCCAGAGGAAAACCTAATACAAAACCACGACGGTTCAAGTGAAGGAAGAAATGTGGAAAGGTGAAACGCTATAGACATTGGAGTGGGAGGGTGAGGGGCCCTTGGTGACTGTCTGGTGCCGTGGCCGAAATGTCTCTCTGGACCGTGTGAGCGTCGCTCATGGAAAGAGTACTCCGTGTGAATGGACTAGTGTTGGAGTCTCCCGTGTGGTTGTGAGCAGGAAAGTAGATAGGATACCAGGCAGGTTTATTTCTTTGTTTACTTAGTTATTTATAGTCTGTGTTCTTAAAAACAAACCTGAAGAACAAAAAAACATGTGGCATGAAGAGTCTGGTGGGGGCATACCACGCTACACAGAATTCAGAGGAGGAGACGGAAGGGGATGGGGGGCAAGTCTCTCTGATCCTGTTGCAATTTAGGGGTCATGTTATGATTTCTGGTAGCCAAAGGTTGATGAGGAAGCGGCAGCTGAGAAGAGGGTTTAACTGCCAAGGTTTGGAGCTTCAGAAATGCAGAGAGCCATGGAGGGGTCTCCTCGCTGGCAGTGTCCCCCAGTTGTGGGGAAGTGGCAGGTGTGACATAGTAAGCCAAAGGACAGCTTATTGTTTTGACCAGACCAAGAAGCAGAAGTGTTTTAACTGCTCATCTTGCCTCTGGGGATTGCAGAAATCAGGTGCTTAGGACAGAAGGAAGTGTACAGATTCTCAGGGGTCTGGAAAACCCCAGAGCTGCTCCCTTCCCTGCCCCTACAGTCACCAGACATCTCCTACCAGCTCAAGTTCTTCCCAGCCTGGGAACACACTGTTCCTGAGGTCTACTGTTCTGTTCTTGGGAGGAGTTTAGTGGACTGGAAGGAAACTTCATGGGCTCTTGGCAACAGAGGATTGGCTTTGAGTCTGACTTCTGTCGATGCCAGTTGTATTTTCCCGGGCATTCGTGGCTTCCACACTCATGTAGGCTTGGATGATGATACTGTCTCCACCAACTATCTGGAGAGAGTAAAGAGAAAAGGCACATAATGATACTGTCTCCACCAACTATCTGGAGAGAGTAAAGAGAAAATGTCTGACACATGATGGGTATTGAATAAATGGTCATTTTACTGCTGCAATTCTCATCCTTAACAATTTTGGCCTTGGGGGCCATTGATAAAAAGTGTGAATTTGGGGTTATTTTTAATGTAAGGGTTTAAAAAGAGAGCCTCTTCAGGTAACCTGAAGATTTGACAGCTCAGCATGTCAACATGGCCTGATTATCAGATTATCCAGAGTAAATGAGTAATCTTCCTTCCTGAGGTCTGCAAAGAGATAGCTGTGGGAGGAGAAGGGAAGGCGAGTCCCAAGGCTAAAGCTGCCTTTACTGAGTTAGGGAACTTGGTGGCCTTGCCTTTCCAGCCGTCAAAAACTATGTAAAACACAAGAGCTCCTTACTTTCCGGTATTCTTGTCCTAAAGGACTTTGACTCAACAAGAAAGGCTTGTTATTTTGACTGTGGCTTGTAACAAAGTGGATCTCCTCGACTGTAGTGTAATAGTTCAAAGTGTGGGAGGAAGCCAGGTGTGCGTTGTTGTTTTCTGGGGAGACTTCGAGTCTCAGAGCTGGGAGGATGGGGTGGGGCAGGGAGCCTATGCAGAAGGGGACAGGATGTTCTCTTTGCACCTTGAGATGCTGTTCATTGGAAAAGATGGGCATAGAGCAACAAAGGGCAAAATGTCATTTGATGTGGATTATAACATCTTTATTCATATGATTTTTAATTAATTGCTTTCTTCTGAAATGGGAAGCTACACCTGCAGAGCCATTTGGGTGAAATCGATGCATCCACACACCATTTCCAGCAAGGGCTCTTCCTGGGACATTTCTCTCCATGTCAGACCTTTATTTCTTTTTCCTTTGCTCTCCTCCCTTGAAGAGTGGGCCTCAGTCACAGGGCAGGGGACTCCTACGGACCACTCACTCCCCCAGTGTCCATACTCTGCCAAGGACTGTGCTCTGTACAGAAGAATCCTATACAAACACAGTACCAATACTGGTCCTCTGACAGCTTAAAACCAAATATTGAGAAGATATTGTCAGCTGGGTTTGAACCAAACATAACCCTAAGCCTGAGTTCTAAGCTTTTCAGGAGTGATGTCAGAGTCTTAAAAGTGAGACGAGGTTGGGACCTTGGGGTGGGTGGTCGTGGAAACACGATAGTAGAATGTTAACTCTCTGCTGAACACACAGAGGGTCTGTCTTTAGTCAGCCACAGGAAGATAATTTGCAATATGTAGAAGTGTTTTCTTTTCCCTTCTATAGAAAGGACTCAGCAACTGTGAAAGCCCTGGGTGGCAACTAGTGAGGCCCACACAGAGGTCAGTGGACTTGCGCTGGTTTTAATGTATATAAATAACCTTTATCAATGGGTCAGCAGTGATTGGTTTAATTTGATGGGGGGAGGGGAACGCTTCATTAGAAGGTAGGTAAACAGAAAGAAGGCATCAAATGGGCTGTTCTCATGAGTGAATAATTCCGTGGAAAGAATCGTAGATTTTTGTTTAATAAACATTTTCTTGAGTCCTTCCCATAGGTCTTGTGTAGCTTTGGATGCCCAGGAATGACTGAAGAGGTTGAAATTGGGAGGACTATTCGCTAGGGAGCTAATGGTGGATTCCTAGAAACGACTAAGTCTGGGGGATGAAAAAACAGCTGTGGGGCTAGACGGTAGCCTGTAAATCATGCCTTGAATGGTGTTTGAAACACGCATGTGAAATCCAATTGCACATTTTAATAGGGAGAAGCTCTGGGGCTGTTGGCTCTCATTTCGGGTTTCCCACACTGCAGATGCCAGGACACTATGAACACTAGCACCAAAAATGTGTTGCAGGCCTGGGGGGAGTAGAGAGCTATAAAACCAGGGAAATCACCAGTGTGTCCTTGGCTTTCCGATTCCCTAGCAAGGGATGGGAATAAAACTGGTTGACATGCTCACTGCTGTGTGCCGTGGTCAAATGCTTGCAGTCTTGAGAGCAAGCCAGTCTTCTCTGGCAGGAGGAAACTGGATGAAAAAGAAGGTTCTTCCAAAGCTGCTTTCCCTCCCAACCCAGAGGGAACCGCTGCAAGGGAGGGAGGGGAGCCAGGAAGGCAGAAATGAGAAGGTGGAGGGGTGATTTCGCCACACACCTGTTCTGTACATAAACAGAGCTCTTGGGCTCTGGGCTGTCCGTCTTGACATGTCTCACCAGCACGCGAATCCTTTCTAGATTCTCCGTGATTGGTTTTTTGGAAGAAAGAGCGATGGCTGTGCAGCGGTGGTTATGTTTGTAGGATAATGGGAAATGACACGTAATTGCTATTCTAAACAATGCATTAAGGGGAGATCGTAAGGTTGTCAACAAAAGGAAGTGCTCTGCTGTGTTTGTGTTTACTGAGTTCCTTCTCCTGCCATAGAAAATGTAGGACTGGGTTTTATCACACTTTTTTCCCCAGTCTCTGCTTTCAGGACAGAAAAATACATGGACACACACCTCTGTAACATAACAAAGAAGCTAGAATAGCCTAGTTGAGTTAAGAGATGTGGTGAGGTCTAGAAGCTGCATGGTACACAGGCGGTGGCCATGTCATTGGAAATTGAGCTATTTCCTTAATACAAAGTCAGGCCAGCGGTGACATTTCATTATTTTCCTCCCTTGAATGTCCCCCAAAGAATGGATTATTTTTGTTTTTCTGTCTACCCAGTTATGCTGCATGGAATTGCCTGCTTTAGGAATTAGCTACTATGCTGCGTTTAAAGCAAAAATGAGACACTAAGAACAGGGATAAAATAAATAAGGTGAATGAGGATGACATAGTTCTTTAGTCTATGCCCTAATGATAACCTAGGGAGAACGCCATGAACCTACTATGGTCATGACACCTTTCTCTCTTTATGGTATAGGTCTTGGTACAGTCCACCCAGTGGAGAAGTCTTCACTGTTAGGAATCAGAAGAAAAATGTTATAAGGAGCTTTGTGATTGTTTTTTTCTGTTAGAATTTTTCAGTTGGCTTTTCTATTCTAAACTCTAGAGTAATGCTTGATAAGCACATTTTTAGCCAGATACCTCTCACTAAAGAACTGTAGGCACTTCTTGTCATAGCAAAGTCTCTTGCATTACGTGCTGAGTTTACCCCCATTCCAGAGTGGCTTTGCTAGCATATAATACCGATGCGTGCTACTATCTCTGTGCTTGCTATCCCTCTCCACCCCCCAGCATCTAACTTCTGCATTTCCACTCCCAGTGCCTTTGAATAGGCTCTCCTGGGAGCTTGGAAGGATTTCCTCCCTGTCTGCTTCTCTCTGTGAGCCTCTGACTTTGTCTCTGAAAACTGACTTTTACTGGCCCAACCTTCTACTCTGGTAACTCTTCTATTTGTGATCTTCTCAGGGCTCTCTTTGTATTTGTGGATATGCTGCTGGTACTGTCCCATAATTTTCTGATGGAAGCAGTTAGCTGTAGGTACATATTAAATACTAACTTCTTTTGAATGACCAAGGATTTCTTGGAGACATCACAGTTTTCAATCCAGTTAACTGTATTGAGTCTCTTATGTCTAACTAACTCCACAGAACCAAATTAGGAGGGCACATTTCTTTCATTTCCATTTAAGAGTCAAGTTCAAAAGGCAAACATTCTAAAGATGAAATCTCATGGACTGCTTTAACAGAAATTTTCTGATACGTTCTGCAAGAAGAAGAGATCTACCTTGATGAAGTGTTTTAAACATTGCCCTTGTTCCGTGCATAACAAGATCTTCTGTAGGGTGGGAAACCGAAGGTTGAAACAGAGCATAAGCCTTTCCAACCCTCAGGAGGAGACAGTGTAGCAGAGGTGGAGAGGAGTCGCAATACTCAAGTGGTCACCTGTTTACAGAACCAAGCAAACAATATACAACCAAACAATATACAAT